ATAATAAGTATGTGTTTAGCGTTGATAATGGTAACATTGTTTCCGAAATACGTATCCGCGACTTTTCATTAATTTTTTTGTGGCTTTGAGTTTAATATTTTTTAGTTTTTTTAAATTAATAATATTTTTAATATAGTTTTAATTTTCTTAATTTATAGAATCAGCCTGTAACTCAAGTACATTAATTAAAGGATTTTTTGGTACTCTGGAGAGTTTATATGTGTTTTTTTCGGGAAGTACATCAAGACATCAACGTTTGCAGGAGAATCTTAAGGATGTTGAAAATTCATTATAGTTAAAAAATATGTCCAAGACGCGTTGGACAGCACTGGAAGAATCTATCAAAGAGGTTTCAGTTAGCTATGCAAACGTGGTACATGTTTTGGAAGATATGAAGTCGTCAAAAGCTTTTGATTCCAGTATCAAATTTTCAGCAATGGTACTGTACAAAAAAATTTTAGATTTCGATTTTTTTTGTACCTTGTATTTTTTTTAAAATATGTTTAAAGTAAAAAAATATTACGGAGTTATTGGAAGCAAAAAAAATAAATATTATTGACACGGTGCAATTAATACAATAAAATCCTTTCAATAATTAAATGACGAAAACAAAATTGATGCATTAGGGAAAAGTGTTGATTTTTTTGCAAAGAAGTTTAATGTGGATTCTGAAAAAGATTTTGATAATCACCATAGACCTCGGCGTAAGCCAAAAAAAATTGACAAAAATCCTGAGCATACTGCCAAGATTGATTTTTGTCAATTTTATAGCAAAGAATTTTATATTATTTTGGATGTTTTTACGTTAACTGTCAACAATCATCTCCAAACCATGGTTACATTATTACAACCTTTTCAAGAAATTTTCCAGAAATTCATTCAGATGAACCAGAATGTTTTTAATCTGAAATTAAAATCTTATTGGATGCTTGTAAAGAGTGTAAACATTTTGATGATATTTCCAAAAAAGCATACACATTAAGAAATGTTATACCACGAGCTTACCGCATTGTAAAACTGGTTTTCACATCACCAGTTTCATCTGCATCTAGTTAACTTTCTTTAAGTCGCTCAATATTAGTTTATAATCACTTAAGTACAACAATGAGTGACGAGAGACTAGATTCGTTATTGGTATTATTTTAAGCTCGAGATATTGTGGATAAAATAAATATTCAGGAAATTGTAAATGAATGGTCGGTCCTAAAAATCCGGCGAGTAAAAAATGTAAGCTAATGTAGCAAACTAAATAAGAATTGTCTGAGTATATATGGATATTTGTGCATTATGATTATAATTGTAATAAAATTTCTAATAAACTAGTTCATGTCCTAATTAATTGCTTATATAGTAACATTATACTTAAACATTAAATTATACACTCCTTTAACTACACTTTTTTTTTCAATTTATGCAGTCAGAAATTTTTCAATTTTATACTCCTCCATATTGGGAAGGCTAGGAACGCCCCTACAGATGAGAACAGATGGCGAAAAAATGCCAATGGAAGTGAAGTAATTTCGTTTTGGTTTGGGCCAAATCACTGGAGGCGTGCAAAGGCACGAGAACTTGAGAACAGTGGTGCAACAACAAATAATAAAAACTATGACGTACAATTTACTATTCAAGCGAAGGTGCTTGCTACAGAAAAAAATAACACATAATAATTGACTTAATGACTTTCGACGATGAACTATACACGGATGACAATTAACATAGACGCATTTTTATCGTAAACGATCACTTAAATAGAAATCATAGTAATCATTTCTAATTAACTTATGATAATTAAAAAGATACTACAATTGAAATATTCAGAACTCAATTAATTTTAATAATTTACTTTAACTAAAAACCATTGAAAAACAAGTTGTATAAAAATATCTACTCAATTGAGCATATTATAAATTTTGATTATAATAGAAAAAATCTATTGTTAAATTCAGGTGAAACTAAAAATAATTTTTTTAGATTTATGATTTATATAAGAATATGTTACAAAAAAAAATTGGATTGTTATAGACAGGTATTATATAAAAATTAATAAATATCAAAGTAAAATTATTTACTTTTGTAGTTGAATACTTTTATCATATCAAATCTAATTCGATAATAAATACATTAAAAATATAAGAAATTAATAATTTTGATTGTTTGTATGGATAAAGCTATTTAAGGTACTTTTTATTTGATTAAGGACTTTTTTCAAATTTGAGGGTAATATCTTCAACTAAATACGAATTGTAATAATTTGACATATCGTTGAAACAAGTAGGTTAATTTAAGGTTAGAAAAATAAATCTCAGCCACAAAAAAAAAACACATAGTAAAATAATATTAACATGAATAAGAAATTTCTTCTCATTAGAGGAGACTACAGTGATGGGATTCTTGATATTTATAGAAGTTAATGAATCTAAATGCGATAAAAATCAAATGATTTGAAATTTTTTTATAACTTAAAAACAATGCAAAATATAAATTGCCACATGCGGATTCGAACCTGATACCCTAACAGTGAAAGACACAAGTATTACCGATTCGGCAACTGTTTGTCGCTAATTCAAATTTCAAAGTTACTTTTTCGACTTTAAAAAAGCAAAAGAATTTAAATAAGTTTAACTTCATATGTCTTATAAACTTTATTTTAAATAATAATATAAGATTTAATTTAAGATTAAATAAAAGTGTCAATATTTCCGGAACATTTTCAAAAATTGAAAAAGCTTAACTAGTGTGCAAAAATTGTTTTTTTGAATTCCCCCTGCGGGCAGGTTTAGAGTCAGATTTTCAAAAAAATTGTATCAAATGACAGAAAAATATCTAAGATTTCAATATAAAAAACCCAGCACACATTCTGTATGTGTGTGCGTAATCCATCAAAATATAAAACTTATGATTGAAGGGACTAAATTAAATTAGACTTAGTTGATTTAATAAAAAGTATTGTCTGTGATATTAATAACGAAATATGTACGCTTAATAATTGTAATCGATGCCCTGGACCTGAAAATCTCAAACGTCAAATGCTTAATTTAAATATTACCACAATAACTGATCAAATAGTATATAGTCAGTGGGTGCACATAGATCGTACAACACTTGTCAAAATTACTCAAACTAGAGCAGAATTTTTGGAAAAATTAGTTGAGCAGCTACTTATTGTTAAAAACACCATTTCATTTCAAAAGCTCAGTCTACGTACTTACGTGAAAAGAAAAACTCTGTTGCTGTAAATGAGTGTATTGTGTTAAGTGACTTTGCTGAGAATTTCACGTTTATGATTCAGGATGAAGTTCAAAGCTACCACTGGGCAAATTCTCAGGCGACTTTACATCCTCATACAATTTATTATAAACCTAATTCAATGGATTCTTTACGAACAAAAAGTTTTTGTATTAGTAGTGATCATTTGACACATAATGAAGATGCGGTTTATGTTTATCTATCTCACTTAATTAAAAAAACCTAGCACAGGGGGATCGCGGCACAGTGGTGCCGTGGTATATTTGGATCAAGTATAATGATATCTGACAGTGATTAAAATCACTATCAAAAATAAACGCTTCGATGCAAATCTTTAGATTGTGTTTAATTTTAAAAAAATTGGTGGATTATTCCAAAAGCTACATGATCTGCTAGTTCCTTATTAATATCCTGATTAAGATAAAGTATGTCGAATGAAAAAGAGATTATTAAAAAATATTATTTCTCATAAAAAAATTGTATTGATCTATGCATTTTTAATATTTAAAGCCCCCCCGTATATAGGGAAATGGTCTGATTAAAAAAAAAAGTATGTCGAATTGAAGATGTATATAAATACTACTTCTCATGAAAAAATTGTATTGATCCATAGATTTTTTTAAAAAGTTATAGCTTTTTAAAGTAGTAAATGTAAAATATAAAATCGAGAAATTTCACACAAAAATAGCATTTGTTAGCCATTTTCACCATGAAGACAAGTACAAAGGTCAAAATTTTTTTTTCAAATTAAAGTATATTACATTAGCTTTAATTTAAGATATATATAAAAGTGTCAGACCTTCCGGAACATTTTCAAAAGTTAAGTTGAAAAAGTTAATTTTTTGTAAAAGAGTTGTCATTTTAAATCCCCCCATTTGGGCAGATAAAGGGTCAAATTTACAAAAAAAATATACCAAATGATAGGTAAGGACATCAAGCATCTATAAAAAAAAGAATTATATTAATATGTTCATTTTTGAAAAAGTTACGGCAGTTTTTAGTAAAAAAAATTGAAAAAATTTCGAAAATTAGCGATTTTTAAATTTACGGGGAACGAGTGAAATTTTTTCAATTTTGTTTACTAAAAACTGCCGTAACTTTTTCAAAAATGAACATATCAATAGCTTATATCAGTAATCTTTAATTTAACAAATGTTTAAAGGACGCAATATTTCCGGAATATTTTCAAAAGTTAATTTGAAAAAGTTCTACATGTATACGTACGTTTCAAGTTTTGAACGCCACATGTATAAAGGGAAAATGTTCAATTTAGGTTAAAAGTATGTTAAATGAAATAGGTATATATAAAAAATGTTTGTGTTGATACATACATTTTTCTTAAAGTTATAGCAATTTAAACTTGAAAATATAAAATTTAAAACTGAAAATTTTAACACAAAAATTGCATGTTTTTTTAACTTCGGTATCTATTTTCACATAGACGATAAGTTGTCGGAACAATTTTTCGTTTTTCATTTTATAATAGATAACATAAACTTTAATTTGATATACGTTTAAAAGACTCATTATTTTCGAAACATTTTCAAAAGTTAAGTTGAAAAAGTTGAGTTTTGTAAAAAAGTTGCATATTTTTAGTCCCCCTCTGTGAGCAGGTTAAGTGTTAGATTTTTAAAAAAATTAAACGAGAAAAATTTTAAATGTTTTACTTAAGAAATAAGAATTATAATAATATATTTTTATATTAGGATTATCATTTTTTGTGATAAATATTCTTTGATATATAGTTTATAAACCTGAAAACTCTGTGTACTCAAAAAGAAACATCATGTATTCTCCCACAGTTTGCAGTTGTGCTTTTATTTTAAATAAAGTAGAATCTCGACATTTATTCACGTAATTATTCAAGTCGACTAAATCATTAGTCGTGTCTGGCATTTCTGAAGCTCTAGCTGCCATTTTTTCAAACGTATTATCAATACTTGAAAATAAAATAAAAAAAAAAAATTATTAAAAACAATTAATATAACTAAATAAATTATTACTTTATGATAGTGTCTTGAGTAATGTTTATATAGTAATCAAGAATTTTATTTTTTAAAGAATTAACGATATTTTTTAAATTACTATTTATTTCAGATACATCTAATGACATCAAATTCAATTCCACATTATCTCTCATGTTGCAAATGCTATCGTTTATAGAATTATATTTTATGACCCATTCATTGAAATCCTAAAATATAAATATTTTTGTTAATATTTCAAGATATGCAGTAATTCTTACTTAAATTCAAACTGGTTTTTAGATACCGATGTTTCTTATCTTATTCTCCTATCTATTACCTTTTCCCAAATTTTCATACTATGATTCATAAGCTTTATATATCTATAATTTCCACACTCCTGAATGTCTCCTTGACTTCTAAATATCCACATCACAATAATATTCCTCTATTAATTTGGGATTTTCCTTTCTAATAAAATTTAACTTTAATTTATTTTTCTTGTCAAGTAGCTCAACGAAGATTTATAATAAATAAAATAATTGCATATATGATAAAACTAATATTTTTAAAGAAAATTCGTGAGGCATAGCTATTCAATCATTCCGTATAACATAAAAAATTAAGATTGCATTCATATGAAAATATTATAATATTTAATAATAACTTTTTTCATCATCACTTAAAAGTAAAATTTATTTATTTATTTACTTATTTATTTAAGTGAATTTGACCTCGTGAATGTGTCTTCGAGAAGAATCAAAATAATAACTATGATGTAATATTTATTGATGGAACACTAACTTTCATATCAGTAGCCAGGCTCCTTTCTATTAGGAATAATGTTAATAACAATTAAGGATATAATTAACATACAATTTACAGTATTAATGATTACTTTCTAAATATTAGTGTAATACACTTTTAATAGTTACATAATAAATCAAAATACAAAATGGATTTACGACACCCTAATAATGTCAAAAAATCTAGCTTATATAATAAACCGTGAATACCTCCTATTAGCAAGAAAACTTTTTACCTATATTCATACATATTTTTTCGTACTCGATCAATAGCTCTTACAGAAATTATATTATACCTAGGGCGAAAAAAGCGAAAACCTTTTCAACTGGGTAAGTAAAAGTGAAATTTGTGAGTCAATTTTTATAGTTTTTCTGGAGAGTCGTTTGAAATATTTTAATCCTAAAGGAAGTAATATAAATGTAGATTTTGATAATACAATAATATAGTGTTGTAATTTAATTTTATTGTTATCGTTGATATCAAAGAAAGATGTAAGTTTAAAATATGTATTTACAGGTCAAACTCATTTTACTCACAAATTCACCTTCGATTTTATCCCCATATTTTTTTTACCTGTATTAGCTTAAACACTTTAAGTTAACTATAATATTAACAATTATTATAATTAGCGATAAAAGACAATGAAATAGCTGTTGAATAATTCAACATATGTTTTCAAATTATTTGAAAATATAACTATAGAAAACATAGGAGCAAACCGTATAGACGCTCTTTGACCTACAATAACATAAAAAAATATTTTTATCTTTTTAACGATACGTCAAATGATCACAACTATTATTTAGTTGAAGTTATTAGATTTTAATTACAGTCAGATATCATTATAATTGACCCAACTATCCCACGTAACTACTGTGCCGCGACCATCCTGTGCTGGGTTATTTTTATTATATCATGAAAACTAAATAAAGACCAAAAAATTTTTTTTTCATTTTTATTGTAATAGATCATTAAAATAGAATTCATAGTTATCATTTCTAAGTAATTTTTGGTGTTTAAAAAGATTCTAAAATTTAAATATCCAGAACTAAAATAATTATAATAATTTAGTTTAACTAAAATCCAATCAAAATATTGTTAAAAATCTACTCAATTGAGTATATTATAAAATTTGAATATAACTGTAAAATTTTTTTATTAAATTTAGGTGAAACTAGATATAATTTATTTTAGATTTATGATTTATAAAGCAACATGTTACCAAAAAATTTGGAATATTATAGACTGTTAGTAACACAAACATATTAAGTTAAAAAGATTAATATATTACGAAGTAAAATTATTTAATTTTATAGTTGAAATCTATTATCATATCAAACCTAATTCGATAATAAATACTTTAAAAACTTTAAAAATGAATGATTTTAATTATCTATATGGAGAATGTGGGCTAAGTAACTTTTTAATTAATAAAATGGAAATTTTTTCAATTTTGAGGGTAATATCTTTAACTAGATAATAGTTGTGACTATTTAATGTATAAAAAGATAAAAATCTTTTTTAATGTTATTGTACGTTAATTGTTTGGTGATTAAAAATATTCTACAATTGCAATATTCAGAACATAATTAATTTTAATGATTTAGTTTAACTAAAAAAATCAATAAAATTTTTTATAAAAAAATCTACTCGATTTGGTGTATTAGTTGTGATCATTTGAAAAAGTTGGTCAAGTAAGAGCTGAGAAATTAAATGAGAGCCATAAAAAAATTATATATCAAATGATAGATAAAGAAATCGTGCATTTATAAATATATATATATATATTGATTTGATCATTTTTAAAAAAGTTTTGGCAGTTTTAAATTAAAAAAAATTGATAAAATTTCGAAAATTAAATTTAAAATGTGTAATTTTTTTGGAGATTCCCCCATTTTCAGTGAATGAGAGAAATTTTTTCAATTTATGAGGATAATTTTTTTAACTATATACGATTTAAGATCTTTTGACATATCGTTGAAAGAGATCGGTTCGGTGAGAGTTGAGAAAAAATGCTAACAGACACAAATAAAAAAAAAAAATCATAGTAAAATTAATTCCTTCTCAGTTTCCCATAGAATCTAATAAATAACATGGATTGATATTTGATGATAACTTATATTACTACTATTATAAGCAAACAAACAAATGTAAGCCGTAAAGTATCATGATGATTTTCCGAAAGGAAGTCAAAATTAAGTAAAATGCAATATGTTTGTATGCGTCACGCGACCTGTAGCTGTGTAGCAGTCGCCATCCAGCGGTAAAGTGCAATGCGAACAGCGTCAGCGTATCTACCCTGAAAAATTAATTTTTATTTTTTTCGCATTATAATCGATTTATTAAATATGTGCGCGACAATTTGTGTTAGTTTACGTCGTGATTCATCATTCCACCCTTCCATTGGAATTAGGTTAATTTCATTACCCTTCTCTCATAGACTTGTTGAAAGTTGAGAGGATCACCTCCTGCTTTAGATTAGTTTACGTTGGATTTCGTCGTTCCCCCTCCCATTACATTAGTAACTAATTCACTGGTCAATATTGTGCAATTTATATTTATACAAAAATTAGTTAAATTAAAGATTATTATAAATAAAAGTATAAATTTTGCCAATTTAAAGAAACCAGATGTTTTGTTCGATGATATATTATTTTTTAAAATATTGAATTGTTTATATTAAGAATTCAAAATTAATTAATCAGTTTATCAGTTAGAATACATGTTTAAGTGTTCGAGACTAATAAAACAATGATGCAAAACGAGGTTGTAATGTATCAGTAATCAAAGAATATAAAATTGTTACAACGAAACACAAATTACCAAAACTAATGGTGGTGTTACGGACAGATTATTCATCCTTTACCAACATTAATAAATTAACAACTATACTAGTACCTGGGGGTCTATTTTTCAATCGTCCGTTCACGAACGTATACGTTCAGATTTTATTTTATATAGGTTTATATGGCGAACGTTGTCCGTGAACACGTTCGGAACGTATGAAACATCGAACGGACGACCGTTCAAAACGTTCGTCACAACGGATAATAGAAACCATCCGTTAGCGAACGGTGGGTCGAACGGTCGATCGAACGGACGGTCATAAATAACAAAAGAAAGGTTTGACCCTTACACTTGCCTTTTAGACAAACATATTTACCTAAAATATAATTTTGAATTAAAATCGTTTTAATTAAATAAATTCATTAAACAAATCAATTATTCGTAGAAGTAGCTATAATCGGAAATAGGGAGCTAAGGCTCCTTCATGTTTGAGTGAGATTTCCTTATTAACTTATGAACATAAAAAAAATATTTAATATATATTTTTATTAATAAAAATATATTTATTATAATAAATATTATTTCAATTAATTATGTTGTTCTACAAAACATAAATTAGTTGAAAAAAATGATTGAAATTTACAAACAAAAATTTTTAGTTAAATATTAAAAATTGTTTTAAATAGAACTATTATCTAATAGTTTCCAAATTATTTCAATGCAACTTACAGCGCATCAATGATACATAATATTTGTTTACGATCTCATTAAATGCAGCGAGACCTTTTTTGAGATAATTGAGTAATATAAACAAAAATCACATTATTTAATAAAATTCACTTGAAAAATGCAACCATAAAATACATTGTATACAGAGTGATTTTTTTATCATTACCCACTCAATTACTTACAGAATAATAATAAACTAAACATTTTTATTTCCGATTATCTTTAGTTACACATTATTGTTGAATTATTAATTATGTAACACTTTAAGTTCATCCCTTATACTATTTATGTATAATATATAAGGGATTATAAATACAGGTAGCTAATTGGATTTTTATGACATTGCTGTCATAGTCACGGATTCTTTATTATCAATTATGACTATCATTAGATATACCTTGTGTGTTGTCAGTTAGTGTATTTATAAACTCACAACAATGTGCCTTACTACTATTAATAATAACAATGCTGTGTACCTGTTAATATCGATGTCATAAAAAACCAATTAGCTACCTGTATTTGTAAACCCTTGTGTATTATACATGTATATTATCTCAAAATTTTTTACCCCTATTGCTTGAACACGTGCAGAAAAAAGTAATATTTATGTTTTAAATATTACGTTGTCTAAAAAAAATGTATAAAATATTAAAATATTATATTCAGTATTATAAATTAATTTCCATTTTTCAGTTAATATGTTAAATAAATTGAAACATAATATTATATTATGATTACTCAGTAATATTAATTAAAACTCGTAATACGTGTAACAACTATTTTGTTGGTTGCATCCTTGCACCTCGTAATAAACCATCTTTTAAAAATTTACCTTAAGTTTTTTGTGAAAATTATTCATGAAATATATGTTTGTTATGTTAACAACTTTTCAAAACAGTGGCGTATT